ATCCAGGAACTGGCGCCTTCTGCTGCCACTGACCCCTCTCGCACTCCACCCAAGAACTGTGAGGTCCCTGACGCCCCTGGCGAAGCGACGGCCCTTCGCTTTGAATCACTGCCGCTGTGGCGGGCCATTTATCTCGCCGAAATGTTCGCGAGACCTGAGTTCCGCCAGCTCCTGGGGACCTCCAGCTCCTGCGTCTGCCGCGACTCCTGGAATATCCTGATCGGCCTTTCCGCCCTACCGCGGCGGAAGACGACCTGGCCTCTGTCCCAGTCGCCGTCGGAGGTCTCCTTACAGTTGGCCTCGGCGCACGGCGCCTGGCGCTCCCCGCGCTCGCGGAGGATCCGCACTGCGTAGGAGACGCGACACGACAACTCTTCCTCTTTGCGGCTCCTGATCCACTTTGTACCACACCCTGTCATTCCTCGCGCCTGGGTGGGGAATCTTGTGGCCCTCTCCACGCTTTCATGACTTCCCACATCTAGCGATTGATGGCGAACTCGACCTTCGCTTGATCACAGAACCTGCGCACTCCGAAAATCTCGGTGATCTCCTGATTCCGCAAGTTGGTTGCAGAAGCTGACTCGTGAGATGTTTCTCGACCTCATCCTAAACCCACTTCCCTGAAAGCCCTGCCACGAACACGACATGTTTGGTGTTCTTCCCCCCCCCGCGGCGGCGGCAGCATGTACGGGTTGCCTCCACCATGCTGCTGCTGTCTCAGGTAGTCCCCTCACGGGTCCTGCTACATCGGCTAGCCAGCTCCGAGACCTGGACAGGAGCCGCCGCCGACGGAATTAGCAGCTGAGGTCGGCTGTCTCGAAGCCTCAAGTGCCGTGAATCTCGCCGCCTGCGCCCTCATGCCCGCCTGCAATGTAGCTACGTGCCTTGAACTAGCCGAAACCGTCGCCTCGAAGCCTGTGGCCGACGTCTGGGTAGCGTCGATCCTGCCGCCCATGCTTCCCGTGATCGAGCCGATGATGTACTGCGCCAGCGCGCCCTGAGCGGGGTCAGATGGCGGCGGCGGAGGCTGGGCCTGGCGCTGCTGCCTCTCGCGCTCGCGCCTCTGCTCGGCCCGAGCTGGCCAGATCCAGCGCAGCATGAGCGGCCTCACTTCCCGTCCTCGGGCGAACCTGACGCTCCTACGGCCGCGCAACCTGTCCATCGGCAAGACCAGCAGGAGCCGCGGGCCACGCGGAGGAGGCGGCGCCAGGAGCGAAAGACAATGGGGAAGCCAAAAAGTACTGATACCGCTACTCCCGGGAGCTCTCCTGGGGTGCGTTCTGACCAAATGTTCGAGGCGAATCCAACGGTGGCGACGAGGACCTCCGAGGAGGCCCAAAAAGGGGAAAACGGGCGAAGGGCAGAGGTATGGGTGCATTTGCCTCCTCTGAGACATCGCACGCTGGTGCAAAGTGCGCGCTCTCCTGAGCTCAAGCTGACCTGGAGAAACACGGGCCGCCCTGCTCAAGGATCCAGGGTCGGGCACCTGGGATGCAGTGGCGCGCGATCAGAGAGGCTCGACCTCTCCGTCGGATCGCCTGGGTTGCCTTGAGCCGAGGTGGCTTGAGCTAAGAGTGCTGCTGATGGTGGTGTTGGTGTTGGTGTTGGTGTTGGTGTTGGTGTTGGTGTTGGTGTTGGTGTTGGTGTTGGTGTTGGTGTTGGTGATGATGATGATGATGATGATGATGATGATGATGATGATGATGATGATGATGATGATGATGATGATGATGATGATGGTGATGGTGATGATGATGATGACGATGCTGATGATGATAATAATGACGGTGACGGTGATGGTGAATATGCTGATGCTGATGCTGGTGCCGCTAATGATGATGATACTAATGATGATGATGATGATGATGATGATGATGATGATGATGATGATGATGATGATGATGATGATGATGATGATGATGGTGAGTCGGATGATGTTTATGATGCTAATAACAATGATGTTCATGACCATGATCAGGATCATGATCATGATGGTGATGGAAGGTGATGTTGATGATGATGATGATGATGATGATGATGATGATGATGATGATGGCGGAAATGATGATGATGACGATGAGGATAGATGGGGCAGAGGCACAGGCGGGAGGATGGAGGAGGAGGAGGAGGAGGAGGAGGAAGAGGAGCAGGGGAAGGAGGAGGAACGCGGGGCGTTATCTCTTCAGAACAAACACCCAACTCAGCACAAGATGGTCGAAATGACGGCAAACTGGCGCATCGAAACTCAAGCAGACGACTCAAGCAACGCAAGCACGCGAGACGACACAAGAAGCTTCAGTGAAGACAGCTGCAAGGGGGGACGCTTGGCAAAGTCAAGCGACGCAAATCAAAGCGAGGCTAAACACAAGGCGTGGCAAAGCAAACTAGGTAAATACAGGACCAAGGCAGGGAGGAATTGCTGCACCCATGTCGCAACTAACACAAGCATGTAAAGGACCAAGTACCGCGCACAACGACAGGGCTGAATGTAGATGTTGAGCATAATAAGAACGAGGCAATGCAAAGCAACACGCGGCTCATCAACATGATGGACTGGGCGGCACAGAGAGAAAACAGTCCTGCGAAAAGCCCAACAATCTGAAGTTCTGAATACCACCATTGTGAGAACAGCCTCCGGTGGAGTTCACTACGGGGAAACGAAACGCGTGCAGGGAGCAACGAGATGGAGCGGGGCCACCCTGCGGGCGCTGCTGCTGCTGAGGCCGCCCACAAGGGGGGCGCGGAGGTCAGACGGAACGGGCAACATGCTGATGTAGCGCCAGCAATCGTAGCGAATGGCTGACGGAGGAGCGACGGGTTTTGGTGGTCTCCAAACCAGGTGGTGAGACACCCGGTGGTGACCCCGATTCCCCCCAACAGATAATTCTGGGTCACCACCGGGTTGGGGGACACGCGGTCGCCACGAGGTTTTGCGCTTCCTGGGCCAGCCAGCGCTCGAAAACCGTTACCCAAATCGCCCAAAACTCACCACTGGGTGTTCTCACCACCACGTTTGGGGACCACCAAGGGAAGCGGAGGAGGAGGAGGAGGAGGAGGAGGAGGAGGAGGAGGAGGAGGAGGAGGAAAAGGAGGAAGAGGAGGAGGGGTCGTGGGAATCTTCGGGAGGTTCTGGGGTTTTCGGGGTCCATCGGGGATGCCGGGCCCCCGCACCGCCGGAGCAAGCGGCCGCCATGGCTGGCGACGCGCGCGCGCGCTGGCCTCGGGGAGGAGCCGCGGGCGGGCCTCGCCGGCAGGGCCCGCGCGCGCTCCTCGGCCCCGCGCCCCTGGGCCGTACGCCCGGGCGCGCTGCGCACCGCGGCCGCGCCCGCCGAGGGCTCCGGCCGCGGCCCGCGCGCGAGGGAGGCCCGTCTGGCCCCACCAGCGGGCCGCGAAGGCCCCCGTTGCGGCGGCCTCCACAGCGGCTGCAGGCGGCGGTGGCCCCGAGCGCAGCCCGAGGGGCAGGGGGCAGTCGCCCGGGCGTCGGCCTGAGCGGGCCACGGGGCCCCCGCGGAGGGAACATTGAGGTCCGCGAGTGGGGGAAGCGGTTGGCCCGCACGCCGCTCGTAGACCGCGGCTCGCATGCCCTGGAAAAGCAGCGCCCCCGCCCCCTCGAAGGCAGCCTGGGCGAACGCCTGCATCAAGCGCCCGCGCTGGAAAGGCACATGAAGGTTCGGGCTGAGAAGCTACAGAAGCCCAGACGCGCGAGATGTTGATGATGATGGTGGTAATGATGATGATGATGATGATGATGATGATGATGATGATGATGACGATGATGATGATGATGATGATGATGATGATGGTGATGATGATGATGATGGTAATGGTAATGGTGATGGTGCTGGTGATGGTGATGATGATGATGACAATGATGATGATGATGATGATGATGATGATGCGGATGATGATGATGATGATGATGATGCTGATGATGATGATGATGATGATGATGATGATGGTGACAATGATGGTGATGATGATGATGATGGTGACGGTGATGGTGATGATGGTGACGGTCATGGTGTTGCTGATGATCACGATGATGATGATTGCGATGTTGATGCTGATGATGTTCCTGTTGATGGAGAGGGCGGTGATGGTGATGACGATGATGGTGTTGATGAAGATGATAATGCTGTGGATGATGTTGATGATGATGGTGGTGGTGATGATGATGGTAGTGGTGGTAATGATGATGATGGTAATGATGATGACGGTGATGGTGTTGCGGCTGTTGCTGGTGATGAACATAGTGATGGTGATACTGATGATGATGATGATGATGATGACGCTGATGCTGATGGTGATGATGCTGGTGATGCTGATGATGATGAGTGTGATGATAATGATGGTGATGCTGCTGATCATGGTGGTGCGCATGATGCTGACGATGATGATGATGCTAATGATGACGATTATGATGCTGATGAAGATTTGGGTCCCACAGGACCGATGATGGCGGGAATTAACAAAGCAATGATGTCCATAAGTCCTTGGTGCACTCTGGGTCCGTACTAAAAAATCCTGTGTGCGAGCTCCGTAAGAGAGAGAGAGAGACCTGATGATGATGATGATGATGATGATGATGATGATGATGATAATGGCGGTGGTCATTAGTATGACGATGATGCTGATGATGACAATGAGGACATAAGGAGCAGAGCAAAAAAGGCGGGAGACAGGGGAAGGCGAGGCGCTCTCTCCAAAACAAGGACCTCACTCAACACGTAATGGTTGGGAACGAATCACCATGACAGAAATACCGAATCAAAACTGCGCAAAACGCCTGCGAATTAGTGTCTCCAGCGCAGACAGAAACGAACTACACGATACAAAAACGGGGCAGAGCAAATAGAAGCAGGAGTCAACCAGCAGGGACCGCTCCGCCACGTCCCTCTAATCTGATACTCCTCTCCTCCTCCCTCCCTTCTCCTCTAATTACCCGGTATGTTTCCTCTTCAGACCTGCCGATGCTGTCACTCTGTCGTCCAGGGCAGCTCCTGCGGAGCAAAGTCCAACAGCAGGTCGGAGTTCCTCTTCACTGGCTCTGGCACCGAATAGTCCTGCAGCAAGGTCGGGGGCGAGGGGGACAAGGGAGAAGGATGAAAGGAAGAGGAGATCCCAAGACTTCGATCGAGAAGGACACCAGGCATCTACTCTGCCGCGCGACAACAGCCGACCGTCGGCGGCATCATGCGGCTCATGGTCAAACACGTGATTGAATATGTCGCTGGTGACCTCCGCACGGCGAAAATCTGGCCACAAGGGACGAGGAGGGCCCCACGCATTGGCGATGAGCCGTTGGCTCTGATGACGTATAAGAGGGCCTGCGCCACCTCTCAACAAGAACAATGGCAACCATCATCGCAGTCAATATCATCACCATCATCATTCCCATTGCCACCATCAAGTACTGTGCTGCCGTCGACGTCGTCATCGGCATCCTCATCACCACCTCAACTTCATATTCACAGTCACCATCATAATTACCAGCACGAGCATTAGCGTCGTTACCGTCGGGAGGGCGACGAACGCTCAGACAAAGCAGAGATACGCAAATGAATTCCTACAACGACTGCAGGGAACACGCCGCTTTCACATATCGGAAGACACACCAGTCAGAGTCGAAGTGCGAGCGAGCCTGACATGGGTTCACAACGCATCGTTCTGATAGTTGTCTGTGTGTGCGCCGCACACGTCCCATCCTCACAGCAACGTGCTTCGTGCCCCACGTGGCAGCCCCCCCCACACCGCCGCTGTCCTCGTGGGAGGAGAAGAAGCCGCGCTTGGTGCTCCTGCTCCTGCCGCGCACGGGCTGCCAGGCCGACCCAGCAGCTCTGGCTCCCGGGATCGTGCTCCTCCCCGCGAATGCCTCCTCGGTCGGTGGGTCCGTCGGTCGTGCGGCCCCGGGTTCGAGGCCGAGATGGAGAGACAGAGAGCCAGGGGACCGCTGGGCGGAGATCGGAAGCGGAGGCAGCAGCAGGCCCCGAAAGAGGATCCTCCTCCTCCTGCTCTCGAGGGAGAGAGGAGGTCCAGGGGAGGAGGTCCAGGGGGGGAGCGGGGAGAACTGGGGGTGGGGTGTCCATCAGAGAAGACCTTCTCAACCCCGCCGAGGGTCCACAGTGGGCGGAGGAGCAGCAGAGGCAGGAGCAGACGGGAGGGACCCAGCGACTCGCCGCCGCTCGGACGCCCCTTCCCCGTGCGCCGTTCTCGGTCTCGCGTGCGCGCTCCTGCTTCTTCTCCGCAGGATGCTCCCGGCTGCTCCTCTCGACGGTCCTCGCCGAGGAACAGCGCACGGCCGAGCGACGCCAGGAGCACCGGAGGAGACATTCGGGAATGGACAGGCCTCCCTCTAGTAAAACGTGGCTTTAGTGCAAACGACCTGAGGCCCAAACCTGGCGGGCGCAGGCCTGGAAAATGACGGCCACAGCGCCCTCTCGAGGAACCGAAAACGGACACTTCACTAATCGACGTGTCACTGTTGGGGGTTCTGTCCACCCCCGGGACATAGGTGACTACCTACCAGACCACCCCAACCCAACCCGAAGACCCGAATTTCGGGTTGGGGGGGGGGGAAGGGTTCCACATGTGTTTTCTAGATGTTTCCCGACCCCCCCCCCACTGGAAGGAGGGCCGCGATCACCCAAAGGGGGGGGGGGGTTCGGAACCCCCCCCCACCCTTGCCCGAGCCGTCGTCGGCGAACCCCCCCCCCCCCTTGCCCGAGCCGTCGTCGGCGAACCCCCCCCCCCCCCCCCCCCCCCTCGCCCGAGCCGTCGTCGGCGAACCCCCCCCCCCCCCCCCTTTCCCGAACCGTCGTCGGCGAACCCCCCCCCCCCCCTTTCCCCGGCTCGCGCCCCGGCTCCGGAACCCCATCCCTACCACCCCCGCCCCGACCCCCCCGAAGCCCTAACCTCTAACCCAAACCCTGAACCCTAATCCATAATCCCTAACCCGAAGCCTAAACCCTAACCGTAGACCTAACCCTGACCCCAAACCCTAACACTAAGCCTAGCCCTAACCTAAGCTCTAAACCTGAACCCTTAACCCTAGCCCTCAACCCTAATCCCTAACCTCAACCCTACCCCTCACCCTAAACCCTAAACCCTAACCCTAACCCTAAACCCTAACCTCAACCCCAACCCTGACCCTAAACCCTAAACCCTAGCCCTAAACCCTAAACCCTAACCCTAAACCCTAACCCTAACCCTAAACCCTAACCCCCCAAACCCTACACCCTAAACCCTGACCCTAAACCCTAACCCTAACGCTAACCCTAACCCCTACACCCTAATCCTTAACCCTAACCCTAACCCTAAACTCTAGCCCTAACCCTAACCCTAAACCTTAACCCTAACCCTAAACCCTATGACCTAACCCTAAACCTTAACCCTAACCCTAAACCCTGAACCCTAAACCTTAACCCTAAACCCGAACCCGAACCCTAACCCTAAACCCTCACCCTAACCCTAACCCTAAAAACCCTCAACCCTAACCCTAAACCCTAACCCTAAACCCTAACCCTAACCCTAACCCTAACCCTAACCCTAACCCTAAACCCTAACCGTAACCCTAACCCTAACCCTAACCCTAACCCTAACCCTAACCCTAAACCCTAACCCTAACCCTAACCCTAACCCTAACCCTAACCCTCCCTAAACCCTAAACCCTAAACCCTAAACCCTAACCCTAAACCCTAACCCTAAACCCTACCCTAACCCTGACCCTAACCCTAAACCCTAACCCAACCCTAAACCCTAAACCCTAACCCTAAACCCTAACCCTAACCCTAACCCTAAACCCTACCCTTAACCCTAAAACCCTAAACCCTAACCCTAAAACCCTAACCCTAAACCCTAAGAACTCACCCTAACCCTAACCTTACCCTAATCCCTAAACCCTAACCCTAAACCCTAAACCCTAAACCCTAACCCTAACCCTAAACCCTAACCCTAACCCTAACCCTAATCCTACACCTTAACCCTGAACCCTAAACCCTAACCCAACCCTAAACCCTAAACCCTAACCCTCAACCCTAACCCTAACCCCAACCCTAAACCTTAACCCTAACCCTAACCCTAAACCCTAACCCTAACCCTAATCTTAACCCTACCCCTAAACCATAAAGCCCAATCCTCACCCTAAACCCGAACCCTAAACCCTAACCCGAACCCTAAACCCTGACCCCTCAACCCTAACCCTAAACCCTAATGCCTAACCCTAACCCTAAGCCCTAACCCCTAACCCTAACCCTAAACCCTAAACCTCGCTCGCCTCGCTCGCCCCGGACCCCTGCGGAAAGGGGGGGAGGGGGGTGGGGGGGGTCCGAACCCCCCCCCCCCTTCAAGGGGGGGGGGGGATGGGTTCCGAACCCCCCCCCCCTTTCAAAGGGGAGGGGGGGGGGAAGGGGTCCGAACCCCCCCCCCCTTAAAGGGGGGGAGGGGGGGGGGGGTCTCGGACCCCCCCCCCCCCTTAAGGGGGGGAGGGGGGGAGGGGGGTTCCCTGGAGCACACACCCCCTTTTAAAGTCCAAGGTGATCCACTGGCGCTCTTTCGAAATCGAGGGTAAATCTGAGCCTTCGGGTTGGGTTGGGGTGGTTTGGTGGGTGGTGAATAGGGGGGAGGAGAGGCAGGAATGGGAGAGCGAGGGGCGGAGAGAGCGGAGCCCCGCCACTGCCAGCCTCCAGCGCGCATCCCTCTCCTGAAGATCGGCAAGCCCGAGGCGATGACAGTCTTTCGGGTCGGGCGAAAGGGGGGGATAGCAAAGGGGGGGTTTGAGAATCAGCTCACGTAGCTGATTTTCCCGGCGCCTCCCGGCGCCAGAGGCGGCCATGTATCGAGGAATGGGCCCCTCGGTGAGGCCGAAACCAGCTGCATGCAGCAAATTTCGTAACCCCCCCTTTCCCAATCCCCCCCTTTCGTCCGGCCCGAATCTTTAGGACCATAGGACCATCCAATTTTGCGCTGGCGGGGCCGGCACAACGCCCACGAAATCTCTCATCGAGGACGAACCAAGGCCGAGCGGGAGCAGGTATAAATTTGACTCCTGAGGAACTGGAGGGATCCCTAAGAAAGGCACAAGGGCCTGGTGATGCCAAACATAGGGATAGGGATGTGCTTCAAGCTGGCAATGCCAGGCCGTCACAGCTCCTGGCCACAGTGGAGTCTCGCACCATGGCGGCGCAGCGGCCTGCAACCGGCGCAGTCCGATCAGGCTTTGCCTTCTGGGGTGGCACAGGGTCAGGGGCTCCACGACGATACTGATCTGAAACATGCTTTCAAGCACACGCTACATGGATTAGGGATCCGTGGATCTGGCGCGGACATGACCCCAATGCCGCCCAGTTTGGCAACGAAACGCGCCGACTCTGCACGGAAGCTGGACCCGTCGCCAATCCACCCGCCTTGACTCATCTTTACTCTTCACCGATGTACGCAGACTGATGGTCACAACGATGCGGGGCCTGCGCCACAGGGCATGGCAACTGAGGCTGACACGTCCTCTGCTGCCAGCCAACCAGCCCCCTGCAGGGCTACCAGGCTGAGAAGATGAGATACCCTTGGCAAAATGGCAGCTTTATCCAACACTCGTAGCAAGTTGACAGCTAAGCACCTGGGCACGTCTGAGAAAGACTCCCGATTAGAACTTGAGAAATTAGGCTGCGAATGTCCAAACTTGCTGAAGGCGAGGCACCCCCCTTGACCCGAATAGACATTCCTACTCTCATCGGGCGTTTAAACATACGGCTCCTCGCCCCTGGGGCCACGACCCTTCTAAATACGACAGGTTAGCTCTCTGAGCCAAGTTCCGATCCAAAATACGATGGATCCTCATTCAAGCGCCACACACGATCTGCTCCAGGATGCCCCAAGTTTGGCATCCCGTGGGCTCACTCCGACATGATCACGAGCATTCACACCAACCGCATGTTCAACATGACAGGTAGCGATGGCTCACTGGGCACTACTCGCCAAATCGGCGCTGGCAGAAAACAGGGCTGCCCACTAAGGCCATACATGGTCATCATTATGTTGTCCGTTCTCATGAGTTGTGCAGGCCGGCTTCTTGAGCGACCTTGGCCTGACTCCGCCCGATTGCATTTGCATCGATGCGCCTTTTGCTGACGATACGGCGATCATCTCGGATTAAATTCCGAGAGTGGACTTAAAATGAACCGTCGAACTTCGAGACCACACGCCTACAGACTAGTTACATATTGATTGCACCTACGAGCCAGACACGACCCCACCCAGACAGACCCCAGCGGACCAAGCAAAGGTGGCTCCCAGTTGCTTCCTCGCCCAGGATGGCTTCAAGATGGCCAGACGGTTCCAAGACGCCCCCGAGACGGCCAAGATGGCCTCAAGAGGGCCCACGACGGCTCCGAGGGAGCCCCAACTGGCCTCAAGACGGCCAAAGAAGCCCCCGATACTGCCCAACAGGGCCCCAAGAGCCCAAGAGCCCCTCCGGGCGGGCCCGAAGAAAGTTGAATAAATAACTGTCATGTGGTTGTTGGCAAAGTGTCGAATTCTCACCTGTTCAAGCTTCCGCCAGCCGAAGAAGGCCCAGGGGCCTCCCAAATGGCCCCGAAACGGCCCCGGAAGCGCCAAAGACGACCCCGAGACGGGCCAAGAGCGCTTCAAGACCCCAGATACCTCCGACATGGCCCCAAAGCGCCCCAAGAGAATCACAAGACCAGTGGGCCCCCATGACGGCCACCGATGGCGAAGAGACCCCCGTAGAGGCCCTCGGAAGCCTCCAAGAAGCGCCGCAGCAACCCCCAAGACGCCCCTGGGGAACCCCTAAGTGGCCCTAGGGCCCCCAAGAAACTTTGAGAAGGCCCCCTATTCCTCACACTTCTCCTTCGTTTTGTTTTCTCTCTCTCTCTCTCTTTCTCTCTCCTCCTCTTCCTGTTCCTCCTGCTCCTCCTCCTGCTCCTCCTCCTCCTCCTCCTCCTCCTCCTCCTCCTCTTTTTGTTGCTCCCCCAGTTGTTCCCACAAAGGTGTCCACATCGGCTGGGTGGAACACGCAATCCGAGAAGTCGTTCGCCAAAACATACTACTACATGCGAGCGAACATGATTATTGTTCCCCTCGCCTATTCCAAAAGGTTCTTCCACGCAGACCTTGTACACGGATGCTGGGTCCTTGGCGTGGTTGATCCGGTGATGCGCGAGCCAATCATCGCGATCGCACCTTTTTCCTGTCGGGGCGCGGCCACGCCCGATTACAATTACAGCTTGAGCTGAACGCCCGCAACGGCGGGCGGATGGATTCTCAAAAGAGAAACAAAAGGAACGATGGCGACGACTCCCCCCGCGGCGGGTTCTGGAGCCTTCTCGCCCTAAGTGCCAGTTTTCACTACGCTGCCCCTCGTGGGCCAAACCCAAGAACGGCTTTACAGCGCCACCCTTACGCGCAGGAGCTGCTCCTGCTGCAGAGGCGAGCTTCAGTCGCCCGACGCCGACCCGAATTTTATTCAACAGGCCCGTGGGCGCCTCCGGCCCCAAGGGTCACGCGTCGACCTGCTTATCCGCGAGCTGCCTCCGCAGCCTCGACTCGATCCCGATATCCAAGAGCTGTCTGATCACGGGGGACTTCCCGCACTCCACGCTGCATCGCTGCGGTCATTATGGTTCTGCCATCGGTCGTTGATCGACCACCGGATGGCACCGCCGCGGGCATTTCCGCTGGCCCAACAGGAACTCGCGGCATGACTCCACCAGTTCCAGGAACCTAAAAAGCGCCTCTGCTGCCTTGGCCGCCACCGTGGCCCCTGCCACTTCCTCGACCATAATTCTGGCACTTGCCTGCAGGGCCGTCGCCAGCGGCGTAACCTCGCACCCTCTGGGAGCTATTGCCCGTTGCCGACTCTATTCCGCGACAGTGGCCCCAGCGGCCAGAATCCGCGCCGCGCGCCCCGGGCGGGCGGTTCGCCCGTCGCAGCAGCGCCGCGATCTCCCACATCGAATGCGACAGGACCGTTACAACCTACCCTTCAGGATCCCGCCAACAGAGCTCCACCAGGAGATTTTTGGCTCAGGCGCAGGCGCGGGATTTTTTCTCGGGCCCCGCACTATGCCTCAGCCCGTGCACTCGGGATGCCAGATCCAAACTGGCACGGGCATTGCCCGGCAACTTTCCTTTGCCGATCGTCGAATAGTCTCCAATGGTGTTAGAGGCACCTTCCATAGTGCTGCATGTCTTCTCGCCGCCAAGATCTCTCGCGCAACTTCGCGCAACTAGAACCTCGGGGAGACGTCGCCTCCAAGGTGCATCTGCCACCCCACAAATCTCGTCGTGGAGGTCCTGCGCAACATGGCCCGCCACCCCCATCGGTCATAGCGGTGGGGCCACCGCGCTTCATCACAGCCTCGACAGCCGCACTCACCACATTTCGTGCAATACACCTTTTTTGCTTCCGAAGGGTGCCCTGGCAAGCACTGCGCCTCGAAGCCAGCCGCGCCCACTTCCACTCGCGCGCCATCTGCGAAAGGACTGTTGGATAAGCCTCGAGGAAAACAAGGAAGAAGAAGAAGAGGGGGGGGAAGAAAAAAAAAAAAAAAAAAAAAAAAAAAAAAAAAAAAAAAAAAAAGTGGGAGCAGCCGCCGCCGAGCCCTCTCAGGCCATATGCGACCCAAGCGCAAGCGGCCTCGGCAGCCATCTGCGCATCATAGGAATAATCCAGCTCGACAAGCAATCTGGCCACTCCATGTAGAGACGGCCATGGATCGGCCAAAGGCCGATCGTTGGGAGCGAAAACAATATCCCGGTTCTCCCAAGCATCGCATGCCTCGAACTGCGGGCGCACTGTCTCGAATGCGCACTCGCAGTGGGCGCGCCATCCAGCCCATCGGCATCGCGAGCAGCCTCTAACTTGCAGGCTGCCCTCCTGCCCGCATCGCCTTTCTGCGCGGAGGGGGGAGGGGGGGGCGTTCTCGCCCGCCTGCTGCGCGGCCGCATCATAAGTCGCACGAAATCTCGGGGTCTCGGCCCTTCCCAGCCATTCCTTTCCGGCATCGGCATCGAGTGCGTTCTCGGGATCTTCCAGGTCCCACGTCAAAAATACACGGGCGGCGGAAGTCGGGAGAGGTCAGGCCAGGGCCAACCAGTGCACGCAGCTCTGGTACTAAGAGAGCACGTTATCTCCACGGGCTGTCCCCGCCAGATTGGCAGCCCCCGTCGCGGGGGGCCACGCGCGCAGCATCTCCGCGGCGCCCCTCCGAGCGTTCATCCGCGGCAAACCAACGCGTAGAGTCCACCGAACCCCCTCGGGTCAGCAGATGGTCTGGGCACATGCGCACCTTGGATCTTCGCTCGCCTCCGTTGGGTTCCAAGCTCACAGGCGGCGCAGAAGGTGAGAAGGCGGGGCAGTGAAATCGACTGCAGCGTCAACTGGCCGCACCCTTTTACTGGTTATTCCGCCTCTTCCGAGCCCTCTGGATGAAGCTCGACCGTCTCGAGCCCCTCGGCACCATCGCGCGCCCGGCCCTCAGCGTCGACCTCACTTCGAGCTGGCGCAGCATGCTGCTCTCGAGCAAGCGACGGCTGCGGCATCTCCCCGCGGACATCCGCAGCGACGCCCGTCAGCAGTGGTCGGGCGGCGACAGCCCCTGGCGGCGCAGCCTCCCAGCCTGAGGCGGCGGCCACGCTGCGCGTGGCGGAAATTTGCAATCGCATCCACGGGCCCCATTGTTTCCTGGGGGCCACCCACAATCCGCGACTCCCCGTCGTCGAACTCGCGAAACGCAGTCGTCGTATACGCACGCGGCTCAGGAAATTCGCAGCCCTCTGTCAAGGGGGGCGGGGGCCCCACGTTACCCGGATCAATTAGTACGCTTCTTGGCCTGACACGACAAGACCACAGCACGGCGGCATCGCGCTCATCGGCGGCCGCCGCGCCTACACGACCCAGCGCTCCTTCGACCGCGACGGCCTTCGACGGCGAGGCCAATTTTCCTGCCCCTGGGCAGCTCTAATCCCGGGGGCCCCCTGTAATCCCACCGTGCTGCGCATCCGAAATCGAACGTCCTCTCGCCCGCCGACAACACGCTGGGGGCATCAGGCACCCCGAAATACTCTAAGCTTCCTCCTCGAAGTGTCGCAGGCTACGCCGATGGCCCCGAGGGCCCCACTCTGAACCCCTGCCGCGCCCAGGATCATCGGGGCCCTAGAACGATCCGCGCGCTCTGGGGCGCCCACCTCCGAGGCAAACCTCATG